ACGGACAGAACAGATGCCTCAGGAAAAGCCGTGGTAATGGTTTTTTAAACTCCCTTCTGATGTCATTCGCTCTTTGAGATCTACGCTGGTCACAAGAAGAGATGGAGAAGGAGAGGAGCCAAGCCTGATTGGCACGATGATCTCATTATTCAACTCGTAAGTAATGCGAACCATCCAACAGGCATTGTTACCTCTTCAGACCATTTCTTACGTAAGAAACTTGTTTCTTCAGCAAGAGGCGTTTCAGGCTCTTCCTTCACAAAGCCCTTCCACAACAGGACGAAGCAGCAGCCCTGCTGCTACCTCCACTGCCACCTGCAGGTACCAGGGAAATAACCAAATATCTCCCATTGTGACAAAGAGCTCCCCCAGACTTACCATTACTTTTCCTTTCCCATAAAAAGAAGAAAAAAGTCCATCAGGAAGAACTCTGTTCACAAGTCTTGCGTAATAGGAACAGGGCCGTGGCCAGCGGGCATGGTGGGGATGGGTTGGGGTTGGACTTGGTGATCTTAGAGGTGTTTTCCAACCTGAATAACTCTGGATTCTGTGAATACAGATGTGATAATGATGGAAAACCACACTTGTAACAGCGCAGCCCAGTCTGGCGGTTGGCAGCCCTGCACATAGCAGGGGGGGGTTGAAACTCGATGATCACTGTGGTCCTTTTCCACCCAGGCCATTCTGTGATTCCATGGAAACAATTGAAAATCTTGCGGCAAACACGTGGGCAGATGAGAAGCACTGAGGAAAGAAACCTCTGCCACTCGGTGCAAAGCTGACTGCTCTCACTCTTCGAAAAAGAAAAGAAACCATTTGCCAAACCCTTCTGCCACAGCTGCTGGTGCCCAGCATTCAGCGCAGCTCAGTCCCAGCCCCTCCTGCTGCTCTCTGCAGCTCAGCAAAGCCCAAGCCCAGGTCTGTATTCTGCCTGCATCTCCTGAGTGCCTCACCTCCCAGAGGGAAGGAGCAGCTCTGCTCCCCAAGGGCTGGGAAGCAGCCATAGGGCAAAAACAGAGCCAGGAGGCTCACAGTGCTCCTAGAGACAGCCTGCAAAGAGCTTCCTTTGCACTTCTCTCCAGCCAGATTTGCGTGAGGAAGCAGATAAAGAGCACAGAATGTTTCCCAAAAGAGATGCTACGCCACCGTTCCAAACAAACAAAACTTGAGAGAGGGAAATAGTAGCAAGGTGCTTCCAAACAGCCTTGGATTTCTACCAAGGCCAGGTTCCAGGCTGGCAGTGCAGGGGAGAGCTTCTGCTCCATTATCACACCTCGCAATCCAGGGACAAGTTACTGTGACAACAGGCTGCCTGCCTTTGGCACGTTGAGCTTCACAAACCCAAGCTTGTCCTTTAATTTCCAAGTAGCACTTCCCAAAGAGCAGTGAGCCCTGCAGGGCAGGAGAGCTCCAGTGCACGAACCCCCCCAGTCGTTGTTTCAACAATACCAGCGTTGGCTTGCAGCAGGAATTCTTCCCATTAGCTCACCGCAAGGTCCTGCATTTTATCCTACTGAATTTCATCCTTTTCTGTCACACCAGCTCATCCACCTCTTAAAGTCAAATGTTCTCACCGCATCCGACTTCACACGGGGACACGAGCAGCACATTCCCCTTTTTCCTTTTGGCCACAGCTCCCACTGAAAGCACTTAACAGATGCGACCACTAATCAGCCAGCGACAGATGACAAACTTCTCGTGCTCCCCCACACTTCCTCCACCCTCACTAATAATTTTCCACGACACAGTTAAGCTCTGTCCCAAAATCCACATGAGCTCAAACGATGACATTTCCTTTGCCGACCTCATTTCGATTGCCCACCTCTGATCTACGGCCACCCCAATGGGAACCTCCACCAACATTCCATGTTCTTTCTCTCACAGCATTGGTGCCTGTGGTTTATGGGGTCTGCAGGGGTTTGCTGCTCCTGATGGGAATCTGGGTCAGGAACCTGGGGATCCCCAGCCAGACCGCCCTCAATGGCCAAGGCAGCCTGGGTAGGGCCAGCTCCAGCAAGGAGCCCAGCTTTTAAGAACAGCATCGTGGCCACAGGGCAGGTCTCAAAACAAGCCTGAAAGCCAATCTGCAGGTTGGCATTAGGGTAAGGATTAACGATCATCAGGCAGGACTGCAGGGGCAGCTCTGAGGACATCAGTCCATGGGTTGTGGTCTGGACTGGGAGGCCCAGGCTGCAGGATATGGCTGGCTGGGTAGCAGGACATCTCCAGCACAGCCCTGGACCCACAGTGGGACAGAGCTGCTGAGCCCACAGAGACCCAGAGACCCCATAAGAACACACAGCGCCCCATAGACCCCATAGAGTGAGCCAGAGATCCCACAGATACATAGATGGTCCCCAGTCAGGGACATGGTGGCACATCAGCCCCAGGTCAACCCGTCCATCCACCTTCCCACACATCCAGGTAAGTGTTCTGGTGGACTTGGAGCTTGATCTGTTTGGCTTTGATCTCACCTCATCCTCACTGCTTAACAGCTCTGCTTCTGCTCTCCTCACTCTTCCATTTGTATGGCCGAGAATTGTAAGAGGAGAAATAGATGATTCAAGATCTCTCTCTGCTGTGTTTTTGGCAAGGTGCATATTATATTTAGAATTTCAGATCCCTCTCACACAGATTTCTTTGCAGACAAATCCCAGACTTCGTTCTTGGGGAGCTCTGCTCTTTCCTATGGGCTTCTTTCAGACTCTCACATTTGGGTTCCTTACTCGTGAGATTTCTCTTCTGCCTGGGATATATTAGAGATGGGGTTTGTACCTCTGACTTAAAAAATTCTCTTTGAATTCCATCTCTTTTTTTTAAACTTATTGGAGAAAGTCAGCTCCATTTGCTTCACTACATTTTTTTCATCAGCTATAAAAATCCAGACTCTTTCCTTATTACCAAGATACCTCGCATCATCATTTTTCAGAGCAATTGGAAGGTTTGGGGTCTGGTGCTCTCTGTTTCTGCAGCCTGTGTATCATGTGCACTCCTCACCCTCAGCTCTCCTTCACCTCTGTCACTCCTTAAGGCACCTTCCCTCGCTCACACTCTGAGCTTTGTGGTCCTCAGGGACGCACTGAGGACAGGAGGAAGGAGCACAAGAAGCAGACGTACCCACGGGCGCTGACACCAACTCCTTCTGCTTCATTTCAGTCAAAATTCCACCAAGAAAGACCACCTTCCAACATCACTTGGAAAGAGACCCACGGGCTCCCAGGCAGCAGTGCAGATGCTGCCCACACCACGAGCTGGTGATGCTCCGTGGCAGCTCTGCACGTGGGAATGGAGCTGTGTGACAAGCAAGAGTGGGAGCACGGCCCCTCTGGCATGACATGCCCCACGGGGATGCACTCCCACTGCCCAACACAGATCTGCACGATGGTCTCATGAGCAGCCCGGAGACAGAGAGCTGGCAGTGTCTGCATGCACAATTCCCACACCTACAGATCTCAGGGAAGCCACCAGCCAAAATGAGGACCACCTGCTGATGGTCCTGGATTGACACAGAGCCCTGTTCCAGCCACATGGAAAGCACGAAGACATTAATTTCCTGACTCCGTGACAAATGTCATGCCACTTGGAGTAGAACATAGGGTGTGGAGTTAGAGGAGGTGCTGCTGAAGAGTAGAAGAGCAGAACGAAGCGGTGGGACTGCTAACTAAACCTGCATCTCCTCCTAGAACATCAGGATGCTACATAAAAGATCACCTCTATCGGTCATCACAAAAACCTCTGACTCAATGTGCTGTAAGAAATAAACTCAGAACCGACAAAAAGCGAGTTATTCAATGGAAGAACCATCTTTAAACCTCAAAGAATGTTGGTTCTACAGACAGGAGATATTTAATGAGGCCCTCACTGGAAAAGGAAAAGCTTAAGTTTCTTGGGACCCAAAACTGAGGTGGGTGACCAGACATTCCTCTTCCAAGTCAATAAGCACTGCGGGGTCTACAAAGTGTGATCTGGGAAGGAAGCTCTTTCCTAGAGGCACCATTACAGAAGAACCCGCCTCATTAAAGACAGATCAACATGCAGCTCGTGGCCTTCTCCCTCAAAGCATGAAAACACAAGCAGGTTGAAGGACCATTCGAATACCATCTCCAAAATGTCAGCCCTGGAACTTGTTCTCTCTGAATTTCACTGACAATCACAATGCATTTCTTGAGCTGCTCTCAACCTTGTAATAGTCATCTTCAGTCTGCCTCAACAAGAGTCAGACATCTGTCACACAACCCCACTACTTTCCTCAGTTTGTAAACACATCTGCAAGTGTTTGGCACAGCTCTGTTCTCCAGCAAAGTACTACCAGGTCAAAACCTTTCATGGAACCATGCACGTTCCATGGGAATGAGTCCAACCATGAGTCAGACCTACTGAGTCTCATCACTAAACCACGTCTTTCAGTGCCATGTCTACACGTCCTCTAACTACCTCCAGGGACAGAGACTCCACCACCTCCTTGGGCAGCCCATTCCAATCCCTGACCACTCTGTAAATGAAGGAATTCATCCTCACATCCAGTCTATACCTCCTCAGCACAACCTGAGATTGTTTCATCGCATCCCATCCCTTTTCACCCGAGAAAAGAGGCCGACCCCCCTCGCCACGACCTCCTTTCAGGAGTGGCAGAGAGCACTGAGCACTTGGTTGAACCTCATCCCATCAGCCTCAGCCCAACGAAGGCTCCTGCAGCACGCTGCTGGCTTTAAGGTTCAGGTCAACAGTCACACAGTTTTGCTCCATCACTACAATAATCTCTACGAAAAGGACCACTGAGTGCTCGCCTCACAGCTGTACCACACCTTCACGGCTTGAGGTGTGCTGCTGGGTGTTACTGCACACAGTAAGTGATCTGACACCCCGAGCAACGCAGTTCATCAGATGTACTCATCACGGGCAAACCCTGAGAGGGACAGAAATTTAAAATGGAGACTTGTGAATTTCTGGGGCTGTTCTGTGCATCTGCTGAGAGACACCGCCGTCGCAGTGCAGCTTACCTTGCCGCGGGTCGTACTGTCGCATCTGCACCTCCTCGACACATTCTGCTGGGAACCAGCCGGTCCTTCCTTTCACAGTTCCTTCCCAAAAGCCACCTTCACCAATGCTCAGCACTGTGGGAAGAAACAGAGAGGTGATGAGAACGAGGAGGGACCCGAAAATGGGGAGGGCGGAATGACGCCGCACAGCGTCACGTCAGAGGGAACGCAGAAGGGCTGAGTTGAGCACGTAGGACTCATCTGGAGCCAGGCATGGTCTGCAGGAGCACAGCCCCTCCTGGAGCCTTTGGGATGCTCTGTCACACAAGTCACATAGAGAGAAAGGGCAGGCAGTGCCTTCGTGCAGCCACACGATGGGATGCATCGTGGGAGCATCCCTGACGCCACCACGGATTGCTGACAGAAGCAGAGTGGGACTGGGGGACAGCTTCCCAGGGACACAATGCAACTCCCTTTAAACCAAGCGTGGGGCATCCTCCAAGGAAGCACGCAGCTAACGTGTGCTCCTGGATACAGGAAGGCCCTGTAAACCACATCGATTGGTCTACTCTCATCGTAATTTAGCATCACAACGAGATGGGGCGAGCAGCCCTCGGAGCAGAGAAATCACAGCTGCGTGCAGAAACAAGATGTAGAGAAGGAAGGAAATCGGTAATGGTAACAACACGGGTCACTGTGAGAACTGAGGGGTCCTAACAGGCCCCTGCTCAAAAACAATACAAAATAAAGTGACACCAAGCACCAGCATTCTTTGATGTCAGCCAAATTCTCCCCGTGCATTAAGCCTTGTTTTCACTTGCCCAAAGCTTAAGGAAACAGAAAGGAAGTCTTAAAATGTGCTCTGAAGATTAAATGAATTCAGAGTCAGGGCAGCTTTAACTGAGGATCACCCCAGGAGTGTCCTCATTCAACCAGGGAACGATCAGCTGGAACTCCTTGCCAACTACTGACCGAGGAAGGATGCTTTCAGGCTGCTGGGATCCCAGCTGCTGAGGAGCTACAAACCAATGTGCCTTCTGTAGTGCACCTGGGCTGCACGAAAACCACTGCCACCAGTTGTATGTTTGATGGACCGATTAAAGTTGAGAAAGAGCATTAAAGAACACCAAGTCCAACCCCAAGCCACCCCCATGTCAGTCTCTAAGTTACCTGCAATCCCCCTCCCACCCCCCAGCCTTACGTTATCTGGCTCTGCAAGAAAGATCTGTGGTTTTTTGGGGGTCATTTTTTGGGTCATGCATCAGACACAACCATGACATTGCTTGTGGCCACAGAGCAAATGGTCATCATCCCTGGAACATGTGAACACACAAAATAGGTGTAACCCCAGAGAGCAAGAAGGGAGCTGAGAACCACTGCTCCTCCTTCGGGATGTTCACCATTCATACGTCACACCCAGATGTCATCCCAGTTTCACCCAGCAAATGGCTGAAGAGGTGCAAATGGCACCTCTTGAATTCGTGCACTCACGGGACAACTATTTGCTCCTTCCTGATCAGAAAAGTGGAGAAGGAGAGCAGCCCCAGCTGCTCTCAGGTTATTGTGGCTGCCGTTGTTTTGGCTGGGAGGGTTATTTTTCTTGTGTGATGCAGTGTTTTGGATCTGTGATGAAAATAGCAGTGATAACACAGCGACGTGTTGGCTGTGCTGCGTGAAGCCAAGGATGCTTTGTGCTGCGCTGCAGCGGAGGGGTGGGGGGGCACTGGGAGGAGACAGCACCACCACATTGACCCAAATGGACCACAGGGACATCCCGTGCCCTGCAGCACTGTGCTCAGCAATAAAAGCTGGGGTAAGGATGGGGAAGACGTTCAGAGTGACGGGGTTTCCCATGGGATGAGCCCTGGATGTGGCTGCACACCCACTGCCCACAGGAGGTGATGAATAAATTGCTGGTGGTGCTTTGATGGCACACGGAGCTTTGGCTTTCCCTGTCAAACCACCCCAACCCAGCAGTTCCTGTGCTGTCACCTTCCTGCTTCCCTCCCACCCACTGCAGCTGTTGGGGTGGAGTTGGGTGTCCCCAACTCCAGGACACACCGTGAGCTCACCTGCCACGTGCAGCCTAGAGGAAGCTATTTCAGCTCAAGGGGAACTGCTGCACATCACCCAAAAGCAATAAGCTTTTGATGCACCGTTTGGAAAACGTTACGGTGTGACGTTTGTAGCTGCAATTCTTTTCACAATCAGACAAAAAAAAAATAATAATAATAATAATCAAGATTCAGCATCCCACGGTCGCTGCTGTCGGAGGGAAGTCCCAAACGATCTCCAAGTGATTCCCTTGGCGTTATCCAAAGAACGAGTCCTTAAAATCAGGGCTGCCACATACAGAGACCTCCGACTGGCACAGGACGTGGGGATTCCTGGGACTCTGGGAGCAGCTGTTGTCACCCCACAGCAACAGGGGACACAAACCCAAGGACAACCTCCAGCTCCAGACCCAATTCTCAAGGTAAAGCGAAGCCTGATGGCGAGCCCATGGTAGATTTGCATTACCTATCTCACGCTTTTGCTTTATAGCTGCCTCTCCAATACCACGATCAGACCTTAACCTTCTGGCTTCGACAGCATGGACCTCATCTCCATGTTGATCTGAAGCGTCCTCAAGTCAATCTGAGAGTTAAAAAGAGCCATTTCTCCCAGAGACAGAGGCTGCAGGTTGCAGAACATCTTACAAACTGTCCCATACGTGTGCACTGACCTCGGAGGCTGCTGGGCATTCCCTCCCACCACCACACGCCCAGCAGGAGATGAGGAATCTCCTCTGGCAGAAGAAGGCCCTTTGTTAGGGGCTAAAGGGATGAGGCAACCAGCAATGGCTTGTGAGGGACTGCCTTGTTTTGCTAAGTCTGCACTGCAGGCAGTCCATAGAATCATAGGATGCCTATGATTCTATGATAGGATGTTGGAAGGGACCCCAAAGCCCCTCTCACCCACCCCTTCCATGGTCTGGGTGCTCCCCCAGCTCAGCCAGCCCAGGATCCCATCCACAGCCTTGGAAACCTCCAGGGATGGGGCACCCACAGCTCTGGACAGCAGTGCCAATAAATTAACAGCTGCTGATCAATCTGTTCCAGTTATCAGCTCTGGTTGATTCTACAATTTGTTGCTGTACTGCTTTTAGCTGAACGCCTCGGAGGGGGCTGGGCACAACGCAGGAGGCAGATCAGAGCCCTGTCTGAAGGAGAGCCCCCACACCCAGAAGGAGGTTTTTGCAGTTTGCATTTATTGTACCAGGGGTCGCTGAGGATACTTCTCCCTACAGTGACTGGGTTAAGCATCGCATCCCAAAGGCCATCGAGGGGACACACACCCATGCTGCCACGTGTGCCATCTCCAGCTCAGCTACCCTGTCATGTCACAGCACTGCTGGACTCGTCCCTGTGTCCCCCGCTGCCAAACTCAGAAACCAGGACCACTCACAAACTGTGCACTCCTCTGTGACAGCCAAAGCAAAATCCCCCATAGAAGCAAGCAACATGATTGCCTCTTCCAGGCTCTAATCCTGGTGGAAGCAAGGGAAAAAGAACACCCTGATTTACCAGCCAAGGAGGAGCTTCCCTTAAGCCTCTCCTCCAAATCCTTCCTGAGATGCTAATGCTCCGCTCTCCAAAGGTTGCCACGCTGTCACCATTTGGAACAGACCCAAATCCCACACCGTATTCCCCACTGCTCTTGTCCACGCATTACAAGTCCGCTAACGCTTCCCAGTGGAAAATTCCCCATCTTAGACTTTGTGTTCACAACTTCCCAACTGGTCCCTGGTGGAAGGGAGCTCGTTTTGTTCCTCAAAGCCTTCTGTTCCTGCACTGTTATGCTTGGCTCTTCACTCGCACTGCTCCTGTTTTAAGATTTGATATTTCATGAGGACTGGGAGGACTGAAATTTCAGCTTGTCTGGCGGCAAGCTGAACACAGATTTTAGGGTAACAGCAAACTGAGTCTATTCCAACAGAAGGCAAACTTTAAGCTTCTCCATATTCCACCAGTTGGTCCGTGAGGATGTTACACAAGACAACACGAAAAGCCTTCCCCAAGTCAAGAACAACCTCCCCCTGCTCTCCCCTCACCCTGCAGGCAGGCGTCTCTGGCAGAGCCCTATTGACTTGGTCAAGCAGGACTTGCTCTCCACAGATCCAGGCTGGTGCACCCAGCCACCTCCCCACCCCTCCAGGGCTCAGTGCTCCATCAGCTCCTGGGGTGGGGGTGGCAGTGTCAGCCCGCAGCTCCTCACAGCCCCTCCTCTGCACCTGCAGACATTGCTGGCATCTCCTTTCCTCCAGCCCTCGGGGAATCTCCCCACCGCCACCGCCACCACCACCTTCCAGGGATCACTGAGAGCGTTCCTGCAGTGCTGTCAGCCTCCCTCACTGCTCATCAGGCCCCATGCACTCACACGTTGGGTTTGCTTTAATGTGTCCCATCCAGTCTCTCCACTGCAGGTACACCTGCATTGCCATGGACTGTCCCACTGGTTCCAGGGGCTGGAGGTCACCAGGGTCTTACCGGAGAGCACAGCACCTCAACCTCACTCCATTCATTCACATTCTTCCTCCCATACAAAGACAACTTAGGAGTGGTGGGGATAGAGCACAAGCTCTGGGCTGGGGCAGGCGGGTTGGAGAGCTCTGAGGTTGCAGCAGTCCACGATGAGCACAAGGACAGCACTTGAAACAAGGAGCTCGGGTTCAGCTGCACTTCACAGGGGCCTGGCTTGAAGAAAAAAGTTCTTTACACTGAAAGCAGTGAGGCACTGCACAGACTGCACAGAGAGGTGGTGCTGCCCATCCCTGCAGACATGCACAGGGGATGGGGCTCTCAGCAGTGATGGAGCTGTGGGGGTCCCTGCTTATTGCAGGGAGTGGGACCAGATGGCTTTTAGAGGGCCCTTCCAACCCAAACCATTCTGTGATCCTATGAAGGTCCCGTCCAACCCAAATCATTATGTGATTGTATGAAAGTCCCATCCAACTCAAACCATTCTACGATCTTATGAAAGTCTCCTCCAGCCCAAACCATTCTATGGTCTTATGAAGGTCTCTTTCAACCCAAACCACTAGGTGACCCTATGAAGGTCCCGTCCAACCCAAAACATTCCATGATCCTATGAAG